CTGTTCCTTTGCTTTCTTTTGGTCACAAGCCAAAAGAACAAGATTGCGGATACAAAAGTCTGAAGCGAGTTTCTTACGAAGGGTGTCCCTTGGAGACGGGGTGAGAAGAGTGCTCATCCGGTAAGGTCTCATCATTGAACCTGCATCAAAAGAACCCCGGCATGTTCCAAACTTGAAGAGACCCAGAGGAAGACACAGGACACGGATTCCTCTGAAGGAATCCCCGAGGTCCAGGAAGGTCTGGATCTTTCCCCCGGATTCAGCAGAAGGTAACGGTAGGACGGTGGAATATATTCAATATCAAGAAATGCAAAGGGACATCTGCAGCCAAACTGAGTAAAAAGATGCTTCTCATAAGATGACTGCCGTCTAACGGCGTTGACACCTGTCTCTACTTTCAGATCGACTTCAGCTTTTTCTTGACTTTCCATAAACCAGAGACCCGCGTGCTGTGAGCTTAATTAGAGTCACCGGCCGACTGTACACACGCACGCTGCATCCATCGGCGCACAGATGCAGACCACTCACACCTGCAGCAAAGGCTGTGATCTACATCACAGCAATAAAAAACCTGCTTTCCTGCTGAACCGTGTGGCTTTTTCTCTCCCAACATGAAGGCGTGCATTCCTGGCCGCCCCGCCACCCAGGCCCGGCTCTTCATCTGCGCCGCTCGGCGAGTTTACGAGTCCTCGCTGATGCCGTCAGCAAAGTCTGCACGCCGACTGTTTGTTGCATCCCTCCGCAAGCACCGCCAGGTTGATTTGATGAGGAGGATTAAGGACGCTTGGCTACGCAGGACATCCTCATCAAGCTGCATTCATGGCAAAGATGTATGCGGACGCGGCGCCTGTCCGCCATCTGTCTCGTTAGTGTGCAAATCCCCCTTGTTAGTAAGGTTGAAAAAATGTGCTTGAAAACCGACTCGTAGGACACGGTAAGTTTAACTCCGAAATTTATTGTCGACCCTACCACGCCCTCGCCTCCCATTCGCCCCCATCCCCCTCCAAGTTTATGAACGCGGGGCAAAAACCATTAAAGAACACCTTGAAGAGGCCGCAGGTACAACGAGGGTCAGTTCTACCTCCTTCCTCTGCCTTCAACATCATAGCTTGTAACAAAACGAAAGAGAATTATAGGGGGAAAACAACGCATGTCGGAAAAAGTTGATTTCTCAATAGAATATTGCGTACATAATCTGTTAATGCTCTATTCTCAGATGTCAGTATCGCGCTCTGATTGGTTGGTTTCTTTTGCCAAACATGAACATAAATTTCTTACTTTGGAATGAATTAGTAATCATCGACTTTATAGGTAAACATAAACCTATTGTGTCCTGTCCCATATGCCAGACTGTAAACAGCGACGGTTTAAAAAACCCAAAGTAATTTGCGTCATTCTGGTTAAAGTCCATTAGCATACGCTAAAGAAAGTGACTGTTTACAATACAATCCTTAAATTTAATGCACTGCCGGTCAGCTGACTGAAAGACGACTACTACACCTGTTAGGACACTGACTATCTGCTTACAAGAAAGATCAATATATGTGTACAGTTTTATAAGGGTTGTCAAACAATGACCCTTTTTGATCTCTTTAATGACAGGAGTGTTGAGATCGAATCCTGATGAACTGTTCGAATCGAGTTGATGATTTCTAAAACCAATTAGAAGTGTTGATCAAAGCAGCTCCTGCATGTGGAGCTGCAGCCACGTTGTTTTGTCTACAACAGTAAAATGATTTAGCCGTTCTTCCTGTGCTCCAAGTGGCACTGTTTTCAGAGACGACTTTTATTCGTTGGTGGGGGTCGACCTTGCAGGGAAGTGGCTGAAAGGAAGGACGAAATCATGTTCAAACTGCATCACTGGTAACGTCCAAAAAGTACAGAAGCCTCTGCTTTTAATCATAGAAAGAAAAGAAATGAACATTAAAAGGAAGTGAATTAACGCAGAATTGTGTTAATAATATAAGTGTTTGTGCCTCCATTAAACAGGCAGGGTGCCTTATACCAAGTCGTAAGTACCATTACTAGCTGCTGAAGTATCACAGACTCCCAAATCACATTTGATCTTATATAGTTTCTGTTGCCTTTTGTTCAGTTTCTGCATGTTTTTGAACCTCCATGTTAATCGGAGGGAACGGGGTGAAAACAAGCGACGGTGAAAGTCTCCACTTTGTGGAAGCTGGTGGCCAGTGAGCTGCAAGAGGACGAAACGAATGCAGAGTTCATGTGTTGGAAGGTGATTCCCACCATTCCTGGCCGGGCTTAGCAAAACGTGACGCCAAACAAACGTGCAGCCACTCGCTTTTTGCAAACCGTTGTCAAACTGATTGCAGTGAGGTTTGGAGAAGTTTGCCTAAAACCGGCCACAAACGAATCTCTCCTCCAAAAGCGGACGACAGTTCAGCTCATCAGAAGAAGAGCTGGTCGGGTTGCCAGTCGCGTGAGATTGGGTGAAACCTTCCAAGTGAATTCCAAACCAGAACTTCTTTTTTTTTTGGCACCTGAGTCACCCGTAAACCGCCGCCCCTGCTTGTACTCCTCTCTTTTTTGTTTGTTTTCAACCAGGAGGAAAAGGACGGACGGGACACAGATGGGCGCGGCACAAATTCCGCTGCGCCTCCATCCCCACAGACCTTTCACCACGTTTCGCCGTGAGTCATCTTCTCCCCACACACATCCGCAACATATCACGGCGCATCAGCAAACCGGAACAATACCGGTCCTCTCCGGTTCGCATCGCTCATTTCCCCCCTTCGCCTTCAGCGGTGCCACGGGTATTTGGAGAGGAACTAAAGAACACAAGAGGTGGTGGTGGTGGGGGGGGAACAAGCAGAGCAGTGTGTGGGAGGAGAAGGGAGAAAGAGAGAGGGGAGCGGAGGTGGTGGGGGGGGGGGAATAAACGGGACCAGGAGACACAACAGTGACAAAGATCTGTCTGAGAACAGGAGGAGGGGACGGGAGCAGGGATGCTGTGGGAAGTAAGGAAATCTCTGGACAAACTACGTTTTCCCTGACTCCACTGACATGTAGGCTTTAAAACTACGTATATAAAACACAGAGAAGAGAACTCTCTCCTGGGTTTGAGCTGCTCATAATCCACCTGGTTGGAGACGGACCGGGTCTGGAGTTGCTGTTTCTCATTACTCACTTAGATGGATTACACCACTTTTGGAGCAAGCCTCACGATTAAAGCCAACTGCGGGACAGCGGTTCGGTATGGAGTCCTGCTCTCTTCCAAAAAAACGTTTAAAACACACACGCATGCACACACACACGTGCGCACGCACACACACACACACACACACAAAAAGCTTGTGAATCTAACAGGTTCTGAACAACTGAAGCAAAAAGAGAAAAAGAAAATCAAATCCTCTATAGTGCATCTGGATCCTGGAGTTTTTTTTTAGTACCTCACAAGGACGTCAGCGTTTGTCTCTCAACCTCGCAAAAATGTTATGACTGAACTTGGACAGACCTTGGATTTATTGCCAGGTGACGATTCTATAGACAGTTGCAAAAATCTCCACAACACAAAAGCAACTGAAGATGGAAGCAAATGGAAGATGCAATCGTCTGTTGGAAAAAAAAAAAAAAAAAAAAAAACTAGAAAAAAACCGAAGAAAAATGACAGTGAAATAAAAACGGTTATTTATTAAGAGTCTTAAAATAAAGTCATGTAGCGCAGAAACGATGCAGAGGAAACTCATTTTGCACATCATATGCATCACAAATGTAAACTTGTTGATTCATCTGCTTTAACCCAGACGAAACTGAGGTCGATCACCTTGGCGACTGGCGCCCCATCGACTAAAAGCAGGATGAATCTGTGATGCTGCGGGCTTCTCCACTTCAGTCTGGTTGCTGCAGAGTTTCATGACTCGATGCAGTAAACCGTCTAAATGTTTGACCAGGCGACGGCAACTTGACGTCTGGACGGATCATTTCATGAACTGAATTAAATTTGGGATTGAACTGGAACGAAGCCATCAGTCGCAGTTTTTGGTCCTCCAGGTTTTGAACCCCCAACATCCGGAGCTGCTGCTGCTGCTGCTGCATGTCTTCCATTTCCTGCCTGATTCCTCTGAATAAATGCCACTAGAGCAGAAACTCTTTAAGAATAAAAACAAACAATAATCAGATTCTACCTGCTTCTGTCATAAAGTGCAGTGAGGTGGGTGGGGTTGGGGGGGATTTATTATAAATTAGCACTGTGGAAATCAACTGAATTGAAGTGGATTTAGAGGGTTTGGGAACATTGTCTCTATTATGTGTTCTCAATTAACCCGCAAGTTTTGAACAGAAATTCTGTCTGTGACGAGTCTTTCGACTCCTCTAGATCAGCAGGAAGATGATCAATCAGACATACATAGACATAAAATTGATGAGTAATGATTGGAAAACCGGTGGGGTGAGCTGAAGTGCTTGGAGAGATCCATCTCTTCAGTTAAGCTTGTGAAATGTTACCGGAGAAGACAGATTTGATTGAAAACCATTACTGGTTGGTTGGTTTGTTTGTTTGTTTGTTTGTTTGTTTTACTAGGGGGGAGGAATATATAGTGAAAAAAAATGGGGGGGATTTTGACACGTTTTTGCCAAAAACTACAAAAGTTTCATTCAGTTTTACACCTTATTGGCAAGGGAGCCAATAAATGCTCTCAACATTCTTTATCTCCTGTGTGTTTGAAAGCACATTTTCAGAGTGAGAAAAAAAAATTGTGTTCTCAATTAACCCGTCAAGTAAAAAAAACAACAACAAAAAAAAAACATGACCATTGGATACGAGATTCAATGAACTATAGATCGGTGTTTTACGCGCGGGCGGCTGTGTGTGTGTGTGTGTGTGTGTGTGTGTGTGTGTGTGTGTGTGTGTGTGTGTGTGTGTGTGTGTGTGTGTGTGTGTGTGTGTGTGTGTGTGTGTGTGTGTGTGTGCGTGCGCGTGAACTATCATCTGAAAGAGTGCAGAGTGTGCGCGCGGGCAGACACGCGTGGGGTCCACTCACCCGCGATCCGGGCTTCTGTGCTGAGACTTGAGGCAGGTAGCAGAGGAGCAACGGGGCCAAAAAGCAAGAAAAAGCGACGACAACGGCGCTTGGCAAGAGCATGACGGAGAGCCGGTGACGCACCGAGAAGCGCGCAGTATCTCCAATCCGGGAAGAAGAAGAAAAAGGCACAAATCTAAGATCTTATTATTAATTTAAAATCCCAAAAAAGAAAAAGAAAAAAAACATATGCATGAGCAGATATCTTCACTCTTTCCTTCTTGTTAGGACTTCCTTCTCTTCGTTTGTCCAGCAGCTGTTCACATAGCGCCGTGCGCAGGAGCGGACATCATGAGCGGCCGCAGGCTTCATCCACCGCGGGAGGATCAGCTGTTCATCGCGGTTTCCACAGGTTCGCTCTCGCTGCGCTTCCATTTAAAAAGCCAAGGCTGAGGGCTGCGTCGCTGACTGACGCTCCGCGGGAGCCAATGGCGGCGCCGCCTGGTGGCGAAGCCGCGCCCACATTGAGACAAGAAAGAAAGAAGAAGAAGAAGCTGCGCAGGATCTGGTTGAGGCAAGAGATGCTGGCAGCTGCAGAGACCCCTCAGAGTATTATCATCCGTCTTTGAGAGCAGAGACAATGGCCGAGCCACTGTGAGGTTAAACTTTTGGGCTCTTATCCCCTTTCAGTGACGTATAATGCTCTATAATAGGCCAGTATCCTGCTGCTGTGACATTTAGCCTCTGTACTTGGGTTACAATGGGGAACATCTATTGAATAAAGTCAATAGCTGTCACACACACCGCGGGGGGTCGGCCTGTGTTTGAGGATCCGCTGCTGCCGACTGGTCAGAAATCTGCTTTTCTGGATTCAGGATTCAGTTTCGTCGTTGCCGCTGAACCGTTTTCGGCGAACCAAGTCATTCTTTGGTTTGGGGAAAGTCGATCGGCTTGTCAGGCTTCCTTCAATTTATAGCAGATACAGAAAATCCGTTTTAAGTTTTGTGACGTCGCATCGACCTACGAAAAAATCACCTGCTTCTTTATTAATTATATACGCTTGATGGTGGTTTAATGGTTGTTTTGAAGGCAATCGAAGCCCCCCTTTGGTTTTGGTCTCAGGCTAGCCGCTAGCTTTAGCCTCTGGGAGGATGAACAGGTGTTTAAATTAGCATATGATAGCAGCAGTTTTGCAAACCGGTTAACAATTCAGCTGCGATTTTTGTAGTGAAGTTATCAAGTTAACTTCAGTTGTTTAAAAAAAAAAGTTATATATATCAATTATGACTTAAAAGAAATTTGACTTTGTAATTTGGCACCTTGAATTTGAGACTTTGTCTCTCTGAACAACACCTGGTTTTTCTGAAACTCCACTTTTAGGAAGTCGTTGCAGCATCGCTCCTCTCCTCTAGCAACGTTTTTATCCGTGTTTCACAGAAGTTTGCTAATTGCTGCTGGCTAGTCTGAAGGAGTTGGTTTGGGTAATTGCTGGGGAGATCAATGGACTTCTCAAACATGCATGAAAGAATCAAAGCAACACTCCAGGTGTGTTTTTGACGAGGGATGTGAAATTTGAAAAATATCAATTTTACATAATGGTGCGCCTTTAACAGGAACTCTCTTAAAAAAAAATAATAATAATCCTTCGCCGTCCCTTTGACTGGTTGAGTTGCTGTTCTCTGTGTGAACTGTTTACATGTCACGTGGTCTAACTATAAACCTTGAACCACTCTTTTCTTCCCAGTACAGGACTGTAATTTACTAAGTAATATATATATGTATTTTAAAATCCAGCAATGATGCTGTCATATTTTCCCCCAACGAGTGATTTTGTTATTGCCCTGCCTGACACGTGCGCTAACTGCAGCCTTATAAAAGTGAAGCCACATCACAGTCATCCAAACAAACCAAGCAACTTCTGGCTGCCACATTCTCTCTCTCTGTCTCTCTCTCTCTGTCTCTGTCTCCCCCCCACTGAGAAGGAGAGAGCATGATACAGGGAGACACGGTGCAGGTGTCCAGCTCTACTCCAACAACCTCTCACTTCTTCCAGGCTCTTAAGAGCTGAAAAGGCCCATCCGGCTCCCCTCTCCCCCTCCTCCTCGCAGTCCTTGTCCCTATAGATATTTTTAATTGTTGGTTTTGACAGTTCAACGGCCCTTTGAGTGCCTCACTGAAGAGCCTTGTAATCGGAGCAATTGAACTGCTGGAGCTGGCACAATTAGGGTCACCGCTGATGATTCCCAGCTAAATGAAGGGAGGCTTCCTCGGAACGGATCGGCGACAGGAAGGGGAGGCCGGTGGGGCGGTCATATTTGGAGGGAGAACAAAAGAGGGAAAGAATGAATTTGATACTGTGAATTCTTCTTATCGGAGCAATGTGTGTGTGCGTGTGAGATGCTTTCAGGCTTTTCTCAATCTGGAGATCCACCCCTTGTAATCTGCGGCAGCTGGTCCACTAATGTTCAGAGTACTCTGTGTGTGTGTGTGTGTGTGTGTGTGTGTGTGTGTGTGTGTGTGTGTGTGTGTGTGTGTGTGTGTGTGTGTGTGTTAACCAGGGTTTTGTATCTTCATGAGGACCTATGTGGGGTTGTGGGGACCACTGCTCCTTGTGGGGACATTATATTAGACCCTGTGTTGGGAAATGCTGTTTTTGGGTTGGGGATCAGGTGTGTGATGGTTAGGGGTCGGGTTGCGGTTAGCCTGTAGAAAATTAATGGAAGTCAATGTAAAGTCCCCACAAGTCATGAAAACACAATTATGTGTGTGTGCGGGACGGGTTGGGGGGCTGGAAGGGGGAACAGGAGTGTCTCTTGGAATGTTAACGAGATCAGTTTATATCTTCCCTCTCTCTTCAAACCCCCTGGTGCCCCTCCCCGGACAAAAGCAGAGCAGGTTTTCCAAGAAACGAAGCCGTCGTTGATTCTGTTGCCGACTGGCCGCACATGAAAGAAAAACCGACCGACAACAACAAAAAAAAAAAAAGAAAGAAAGAAGAAGAAAAAAAAGGCAGAGAGGGTAAAGCGAACAAGTTTACAGGACACATATTTCCTAATTACTGGACCGCCCCCCCATGAGTCCTCCCCCTCTCGCCCTGGCCCTCGCCTCTCCACCCGGGTTCTCACTCTCCCCCATCGGCTTACATCAAGTACACACGGCTGAAAATTAGCAGGTGTCTGTAGACACAGAAACAGAGAGGGCAGTGCAGAGGCCACCCCAGAGATCTGCAGAGGGGGCAAATTTAGCACAGATGTTCGGCCATGATGATGTTACACGAGCAAAAAAAAAAAAAAAAGTTCAAACACACAAAGACAGTTCAACTGCGCTCCACTGAACGTTGGAGCTAACGCAGCTACTAATTAGAAACTTTCCAAAAAAATCCATTTTGTTTCTAAATAAAAGCTGCATTGTCATCTTGAACCCATGCTTCACTCTTAGTATCTGGAAGGTAGTTGCTTATTTATATAGATTTGTTTGCAATGCAGTGCCTACTGTTCCAGATGACCAGACAGAGTTAATCGTGCTAGCTATTTTAGCATTCATTCTTTTTACAGATTACTGAATGTGTGTGTGCAGGACGGGTAAAGACTATAGAGAAAAGAGCTGTTTCCCAATGGTTGTTACACACATGACATATTTCAAGTGTGAAAAAAATGAGCTTTAAAAAACTTTAGAAAGGCTTTAAAGGGACATTTGTCCATATGAAAGATGTATTTCTTTCTTTCTTTCTTTTTTACAAATTTATATTTTGTGATCAAACTTATTGAAAAGTAAAGAATAGAATATAGTTTTTGTGGATAGAGCACCAAAACTGCAGCAACACACTCACACACAGACATCCTTGTACTTCTGTACAAACTGAAGACTTTGTATTGACTTCCATTCATTTTAGTAACTGCATATCTCCCAAACCAAGACATTCTCCCTAACCCATTTTCCCAAACTGTATTTATAAATATTTTATTTCGCTATTTAATTTTTCTTTCTTTTTCCTAGAAGTTGTCAAGGAGGGGTCACGGCCCCCCTGACTCCTTGTTTTGGGGCGCCACTGCTGGTACGGCATTTCTACATGTAAACAAACCTGGTCTTGTACAGAGCAAATAAGTGGAAAAAGATAAAAACCATCTGGAGTCGTAAACTCTAACAACAAGCGCCCTTATGAAAATTGGCTGAAAAGTTCATCAGTTTCATCTGATCCCGGCTCCCAGCTCCAGCTGAAGTTGCCAAAGAGTTTAGCTAACTCGATTCGTCTATATGTTTGTAGGGAATTAAAAACGCTTCAACCTGGTCTCCCTGCCAAACAGCCACTTGGCACATAGAGAGCCTGGAAATGTTTTGGATTTCGTTCTTTACTTCCGTCCTCGCTCACACTGTGACGAGTTAAATGTGGATCAATGACAGGGAAACGCAAATTTGTCGATTACCAATTAGACAGTCTTGGAAACTGAGCGACTTTTAAAAAGTAAAGCAGTGTTTAAGACAGTTGCATTTCAAACTTGTTTGAACATTTTTCTTGCTTTTTTCAGCTTCTTATTGCAAAAAAAAGAAGAAAAAAGGCAGATTTATTCAAGTGCATCTTTACTCAGATACATTTAAAAAGATTTTCATAGTTAAATGTCTTATGCAAAACCCTGGACAGAACCATTATTCATGATAGATACTGTAATATGTCTAGATTCACCTGATATATTGTGGAACCACAGACAACTAAACACATTTACAACACAGCATGAAAGACAGGCAGAGAAGGGAATAAGGGGGAGGGTGGCATGGTGAACAAAAAAACAGAAAGAAAAAGAAAGAAACTCAGGGGTCAGGTAGAAAGCCCCTCGCTTTCTAAAGTATCATCTGGATTTCATTTTTATAAATTCCACATATTTTACATGTACTGGCTGCAATTTTCACTAGCTTCTAAATTGAGGAGCCACATTCGGGGGCCTCAGTTGGCCGACAGCGCCGGCTCCCCTCTTCAAGGCACGAACTCGCATGCTTGGAGATGGAAGTGCTCGGCAAATAAACAACCCAGAAAAGCCAGCTCAACTGTGAGATATGAGGGATTTTTTTTCTTATTATTATTCTTTTCTCTCTCTTTTTTTATTTTGTACAAAGAAAGGGGAAAGTGGCAACAGAGAGAGTCGCAGGTGTGAAAAGGACTATTGAGTCTGGGCTGGGGGTCTCGCACCTGCGCTGTCTATTCACCCCACTGTTTATACACTGTCATCCACAATTAATACCTCCTGGGGACGGGGCTGTCTGTCCTCCACAGGGCCCCCAGGCCCATCCAGGGCCCTTATGGATGCCTAATTGAGCATACCGCTCTCCTGATTGAATTAACAGCTCGGTCTCTGGGACCTTTTCGCCTCTTCAGCGGAGGAGAGAGGGAGGCGGCGTGAAGCACTACATACCCCAAAAATGGAGCCCTGTTCGGGTTCAGCAGAGCTGGAGGAAGAGGGAGAGGTGAAGAAGAGGGTTGTGGGGGGGGGGGATAAAAAGCAAGGGGTCAAGCAGGGGAGTTGTTGAAACTGTCCAAAAAAACATGGCCCTTTCTGTCAGCGAACCGAGGCTGGGGGGGTTTGTCGGGGGAGCAGGAGGTCCCGGTCTTCACAGGCCCAGAGGGTTCCAGCAGGGCAGCGAGTGTCCAGGGGAAGAGAAGAGACAGACTGCAGCAGAGGACACGTCCAGACACCGCCGCGCGCCTCTGGAACTACAGTATATCTGTCCAACGATACGTGTGAAACATCGTCTTTTTCTCTTTTTTTGTTTTGTTTCGTCTTGTTTTAAGAGTCAAAATCAACTTAAATCTGGTTCCAATAACAGTCCTGCATTGGTTGTGTCCGATCAGTGCAGGACCATATGTTTGCTTTAAAAGGAAAAGAAAAATCAAAATACATAAATGGAACAGGAACAGAGATGTTTTGAAAATCCTTAAAATCCTTTATGTTTTGTCCAGTCGGTGTTTTATTGGTGTCAGTAACACTGAGTTGTGTGTTATGGTTGTCAAGAACCGTTTGAGCCAAAATCTGAAAAGTGGAGAGTGCATTTTGTCTCCAGAAGTCACACAAATTCACGATTAGGGTGTAGTTCATCTCAGTCCCGTTTTCCTGTAGCTGCGTTTCCGATACAAATGTATTTGAAACTTTGTCAATTTTCCTGTCAGAAAAAGACACAACTTCACAATTGTGGTTATTTCCATTGAATAAGAAACAGTTAAAATCACATGTGACTAAGTTTGTTCTCACAATAAATTATTTAAATAAAAATACCAAATTGTCTTGGTTCTACCGTAATCAGGCTTCTATGTTTTTAACAAAAGTCAACAAAAAAAAAACAAGGTTAACTAAAGTTAGCTCATTATTTAACAGTAAGACAGAAATTTCTTTTGATTTTAAGAAAATTTTATGTCACAATTTAATTTATTGAAAGTGGGTCTGTATCTCTTTAAAAGCTCCAAAAGCAGCTCAGCAGATGCTCAGTTCCGCTAGGTGTTTGCTAATTGCTGCCGGCTAGTCTGAAGGAGCTGAGTTGAGGAGTCGCGGGTGGGGAGGGCTGCTCTGTGAGGCGAGAGTTCGGACATTTGGAAACCGAGCTGCGCCTTTAAGATGGTGCTGGGTCCAAACGGACGTTTAGCACAGCTGACCTGTGAGATTGGCAGATTTCTCAAACGTGCACGAAAGAACCAAAGCCACACTCCAGGAATGCTTGTTGACGAGGGAGCGAGACTACGACCTGGTGTAAAGCTAATAAAATAAAATGAAACGAAAAAAAGTCGATTTTACATAACACTGCTTTGATGAATTAACTCCTCGTGTGGAAGTAGCTCTCTTAATTACATAAAGTTACATTTGATTTTGAAGTAATGATCTAATTGAAGTGTGACAAGAAAAACAAAAAAAAGAACCCAGAATCCATCTGCACGCGATACTAATTATAACAAAAAAATAAACACACCTGAAAGTTTGTTTGTGAGTAGACGTAAAGCGATACAGAAATAGAAACATATATTCATACAGAGAGAGAGAGAGAGACCATCTCCTCCAGTGCAACCCCCCCTCCAGCCGGTGGTCTCCATGACTGCACCGAGCGGCTCACCTCTCGATGAACCCCTCAGTCCGGCCCACCAAAAACCAAAACAGAAACATGGAAATGTTGTCGGCCAGTGAATTGTGCCCCATCTTGAAACCCCACCGCCCACCCCCTCCAGCACCCACCCAGCCAGACTCAATGCCCCCCACAACTCCCCCTCTAGTTAACAAGCCAGCTACCACATTCCCTGTCATCGCGCGCTACCCGCCGTCCACCTGATACGGCGCGCGGGAGGGAGCCAATTAAACTCGCACTGTTCCCCACAACAGGTCAGGAGTTTAGTGGGTCGTTATCACTGCGGTTTCCACTCAGGGTTATCTAATCATCGCTGAACCAAACCAGACGAGCGTGGTTACAGAGAGAGTGGCTGTCGGCGCGTCGCTTGAGGCCGCCGGCGGTGACGGCTGAGGGAACGCAGTCAGCGCTCCTCTGCTTGCGCGCGAGTCTGCGGCGTCGCGAGCAGCTTGAGGCTCAAGGACTGCAGGAAATTTATCTACAATGGACAAAGTAAATATACTTGTATGCTCAAATGATCAGGTGACAGAATTCAACTGAGCTACGTTTTCTTGTGCTTTTTTTTTCTTGAGTCCTAAAGTTGTGTCGTTTCTGTCACTTCCTGGAATGTTTCAACTCGTTGGCTGTGATTGGTTCTTTTTCAAACGAAGAATACGCTGATTGGATGACAGTGATTTTCTGCTGTTCCCGCTCCATTTGCAGACGCTCCCCTGTCGATACTGTGCGTATGAAAGAGACATTAAATGTCTCACCTTTTTTGGCCTTCTTGGCGTTCCGTACATGGGCAGCAGAAGGTTCCAGCGCTCACATCAGTTTCCACTCTATTGGTGACACAAAGACAAGGCCATCCTCTCTTCTTTGAAAAGTAGTCCAGGCTAAGTGATACTACACAGAGTAAGTCTTTGAACAGCAGTTATCTTTCAAGCAATGCCATAAATTGTCAAACGGATTTAAGTCTGGACTTTGACTGGGCCATTCTTTGACATGAACAAAACCACGGCAGTGTATTTTTGGGGTCATTGTCCCTCTGGGAGGTGAATCTCTTCCCCATTCTGAGAAAAACCTTCATTGATCCCAAAGGGAACTCAAAAAAACACTATTCTGCCGTGTCTGACGGTTCCGTCGCAGTAATTCGACTGCATCCATCTTCCCATCAATACTCACCAGTCTTCTGTCCCCCGCAGCATGATGCCTCCTGCACCATGCATTACATCATGCGACGTGCAGTTAGTGTTCACCTGGACGCAGCGTGTATGCCAAAGAGTTACGCTTTTGTCTCTTTGCTCTGTAAAATCTGCAGAGGATCGCAACCTAACCCCGATAACCCCTCCACCACCGTGTTCCTGTGCTCCTTTTTTGTCTGTGATGCCGTTTGCTCACAAATATTCTCTAACAAACCTCCCAGGCCTCCACTGAAGAGCTGGGTTTACGCAGCGCTTAAGCTGCTCGCGTGTAGCGGTCGACTGTATTCGCTAATGAGGCAAATTCTAAAGGCAAATGGGTGAACTGGATCTTATTTAGGAGGATGAATGCAACGGCATGCCAAACCTGTTGGAATTTCTCTATAAACATTAGGAAAAATGTTTCCTTTCACCTCATTAATGCACTTTGAAAGTAAACCAACACAATGAGTTGAACTTTACGGATCTAATATACACAACGGGGGACAGCAGGAAGGGGGAGAGATATGGATACTTTGTGCAAAATGGTAATTTTGTTATTTAAAAATGTTCTTATTCTCAGATCATTTTTTCAGTTGTCGTAGTCAGTTGGGAACCGCCGTGCACAAAGCCTTTTTTTTTTCTCTTTGTTGTGACATGTAAAGTTTAACACATGTATTCATCTGACAATCAGGTTAAGGGAGTACAGCAGCTGAGCAGACAGGAAGTAGGGGCAAAAAAATAATAAGAGTCATAACAGAATTCAATCAAAACAAATAAAAATCAGTTCAGTATTCTTTCATGTTTTTGTTTGTTTTTTGTTGTTGTTTAACACCTTATAGCTTCTTTTCTTGTCTGGGGCAAAAAAAAAAACATATAGCCTATTATTATATGTAAATATATATAGCCTATATATATATAGGCTATATCCGGCTTAATCTCAATCCTCCATTTATTCTAACAAGCCACCGCTTGTCAGCGCCTGGCCGACGCTCCAGACCGCGTTACCCCGGCGCCCCCCTGTGTCCATTTCGATTAATTGCACGCAGGATCACAACCACTCAAGATTGACCAATAGGAGTCCTCCGGTGTTACGCATCCACGTTACTGACGACTTTCCATTATTTTGACTTAAGTATTTCATTTGATTATTATACATTCATTCAGGATTACGTTTTATTTTAGTATTATTTTATTTGTCTTGAGACGTTCTTTCTTTATTATTATTATATTTTTTTACTCCTACATCTCCCCTATTTTTCCTCTATTATTATTATTATTATTATTATTATTATTATTATTATTATTATTATTATTATTATTATTTACAACATGTCAGCTGTGATCTGTCTCTGCCTCAACCAGGCGGAGTTTAGGATGCTGAGTCGAGGCGAGCTGCCGGGGAAGCAGGTGGAGGCGGCGGATGTTTACGCGATGCGCTTCACTTAGGGAGGATCAGAAGGAGCTGCTGGAGAGGACACATCTGCCGTAGATGAGAGACGCAGTAAGACAAATAAATATATATATTTAAAAAAAAAAATCACGTTCGGAAACCGCTCTGTGTCCGGGAGTCGTCGATCGGAGCTGCGCCGCTGAACGAGGCTCCATCTGTCGCCATCGTGTCGCTGGAGGCTGCGGCGAGGTGATGCTCCATCTTTGGCTCGGCGGCCGGAGCCGTTGTTCCTGAAAGCCTGCTATTATGCGGGGAGCAAGGGAGGCTGCGAGGATTCAAGGGGAAAGAAGCTCTGGTTCAGCAAACGCCTGGCTCTCTGGCAGGTCAGTGGAGGTGAACCGTGTCGCACAGACGCCGCGTTCAATCCGCCAGACATCCGCGCGTTCACGTTGTTCCATTTCGAGCAATTTACCTCGTTCGACCGTCATTTCAGTTGTTATTTTTCCCCTGATGTGGATCACAGTGGAAAAGTCCAGGCCTTCACTGGCAGCAGGTGCGCGCCTAGAATCAATTTGGCCCCACACCCGTTCACAATACTCTACTCATTTTTTTATTTATTTTACTATAATTTTCCTTGTTTTCAATGTGTGTTGGTTACATGTAGGTCGATTGTGTGGAAAAAAAAAAAACATGGCTATGAGTAATCAAATTCTCTCAGCCTAGTAACTCTGCCGAAAATAGCCCTTCTGTTAAAGGGCTGCGATGTTTTCCTGCCCCTTATTTCACTTCCCCCGAAGGGAAAATGTCTCATCTGGTGTAAAATCACTGAGTGTAGGAGCATGTGCTCATGCATGCATGCATGCATCCCTGAAAGCTTGCCTTGACCCTTCCCCCACAGACGGCATCTCTGATCTGAGCTGAATTTGATGTTTTAGGTTTTAACATCCATATTCTGTGTGTGTGTTTTATACATCTTCCCCGTCTTGCGCTGATTCCTGCCCTCTTTCCCTGCAGTGTGAGCCAACTATGGTCGACCCCTCAGATGTTGAGGAGCAGAATAAGTGCAAAGGCCCACAACTTGACGCACCAACTGTGGCCGCTGAAGACTCTCGACTATCAGAACCGTCCGATGACGCGACGACTGAGGAGGAAGGTGATGCCGGTTTCGAGACACCACCCACTGGCAGCTCGGAGCCCAGCCCCTGCCACACTGCGTCTCCGGTGGGGCCGCAGGTCAGCGCACAGGGGGCAGCACCTCAGCAACCACAGACTCAGACTGACGCAGATTTGCCACCGAAGCTTCACTTGGACCTGTACAACTTTGATTCGCCCGAGGCGGAGGGCAGTCGTTATGTGTTGACGAGCCCCCGCTCTCTGGAGGCATGCGCTCGGTGTGGAGTCAAACCCGTGGAGCTGCTGTCTCGCCCGCTGGCCGACTTTGTCCGGGAGGCTCCGGGCCGATCCATGCGTGTCGCCACAGGTCTCTTCGAAGTCTATGAGAAGGACAGACATGGCAAACTCAGGCAGTGCAGGGAAGAGAGGGAGAGGATCATTAGAGAAGAGAAAAGACGGATTCTGCAGGCAGCTGTCAACAGCAGCACGTCTTCATCCTCTGTGGATAAAGTCACATCTGGGATCGGTGTGCCTCCTAAATCTGACACAGTTTCCTCCAGCTCAGTTCCCAATGTGGGAGTTCCCTCTAAACCTGCAGCATCGGGTGCAACCATCCTATCGAAAGCCTCCACCTCTAGTCTTAGTACCTCCCCAAAATCCATGCAACCTAGAACTACCCCACCTGCAAAGTCCCACCCCAAAACATCCCTTCCACCTTCTAAGGGTCTATTTCAAGGACCAGTCAAAGCTTCGGTGTCCTCATCATCTGAACATATGAAAACCACACTTCCAGCTTCATCCGGTGGCCCACCAGTGCTCAAGAAATCTGCCGGTGGTAAATCTTCCAACACTTTTCCTAGATCAACACCGAAACCTCCCTCCTTCCCCAGAGCCAACTCGACGTTAACATCGTCAGTGTCGAAGCCTGCCGTTCAGAAGTCCGACCCGCCTCTGAATGGAGTAACAAGAGGGCTGTTCTCTCAGCACAACGGACATCTTGGATTCCAGTCCAAGGCCCAGGGGAAAAGCCATTCCCTGGAGTCTTTACAGAGGAGGATGGATCCCGTCTGCTGCTCCACCTCCACAACCACCACGACTACATGCACCTCATCAGAGTCCGGGGCGTCATCTGCTTACAGCTGGGATGGTGCACGAGATCACTGGGCCAAAATGTCAAGTCCTCGAGCTCGCACAATGGCCACCTTCAACTCCCTGATGGGCCGCAGCCTCAGCCTCGGAGACCTCAGTCACTCCCCTCAGACCACGCAGAAGGTGGAGCGCATTGTGAAGGAGGTGAAGCGCCGAGGACTCAAGGCCGTGTCCGAGCGCGACCGCAAGATCGCAGCGTTGATGCTCGCCAGATATCAGGAGGAAGACATCATGAGCCAGACCCGCTATGTCGCTCACCTTCAGTGGGACAGCGAGCGCCGGATGGAGGAGCTGCGGCGGGAGCAAGAGGACCGGGAGAAGCAGCGGGCGGTGCTCCAGTGCCAGCGAGTGTGGCAGACCCAGGTTTCGATACGCCAGCAGAAGATCTGCCAGCAGGAGCGCGACTCGGCCGCCGCCAAACTACGGCAGGCTGAGGAGCACGAAGAGCGCTGGAAGGAGCTGGCAGAGCAGCAGGAGCGCAGCCGTCTGCTGAGGCTGCAGCAGGCGGCGAGAGAAGAGAAACACAAGAAAGCTCTTCAGGAACAGAACCTGAAGGCCCTGGAAGAGGAGAGGGCTGCAGTGCTGGAGCAAGAGAGACTGCTCCTGGAGGAGAAGCTTACTATAGCTGAGCTGAAGAGGCAGGAGCGGGAGCACCAGGCCCACGAGGAGAGAAGAGGTTTGAACAAAGCAGAGAGGAGGCGTCACGCCGCCCTCATTCAAGAAATCGCCCGCAGAGAGCAGGAAGAGAGGGATGAAGCCAAGAGGGCGGCAGAGGAGAAGCTCAACCGCTCCCTCGAGAACTACGAGCAGATAGTCGAACGCCGGGGGCAGGAACTGAAGGAGAAGGCCAAGCGTGAGGAGAAACAGATCCAGAAGGCTCGCAAGGCAGCGGAGAAACGCGAGAAGCAGCAGCAGCAGGTCCTGGAGGCCCGCGTGAAGGAGGCCGCCAAGAGAGCGCAGCAGGCCGCCGTGGTGGCCGAGGAGAAGGCCAAGGAGAAAGCCAAGCGGGCCGTCCAGAGTCGGCAGGAGAAGGAGAGACTCCAGAAGCTCAACAGGCAACGGGTGGAGGAGGAGGAGAGGCAGCGGCGCCTGGAGCTCCTACAGTCCATCGAGAGGAAGCTGGAGAAAAGCGAGCAGATCTTCAGGGAGAAGAAGGCGGTGCTGGAGAGCGCCCGCTCCGTGGCCCGGGCGTCCTTCCACGTGCGGGACAAAGTGCGGGAGGAGACCAACATGCGCACTTTTGACAAGATGGCCCTGGAAGCGCAGCTCAAAGCAAATCTCGATGAAAAGTAAACCGCCGGCCACGTCATCGGCTCTTGACCTTTGCCACTCCACATGTCGCCCCTCTTCCAATCAACACAAGGGACATTTTTACACTACATATCATCACCCATCAGCAGTTTTATTATACTTTTGACCACCTTTCCCGTGAAAGTGAACAAATCCAGATTTGTGTTATTGCCGTATTAGGGAACTAAACCATATCAGTAGTTATTTCTCAACAGTGAAGCCCTTTAGTCAGACGGAGCCAGCTTAATGTTTAGAGTGGACACAACAATTTTCTTCTTTTTGTGGCAACACAAACCGCTCGTTCTCTCTCTCTCTCTTTCTCTTTCTCTCTTCGTCTATTTGCCCTCAGCTGCGTCTTATTTCAGCCACTGGACTGGAAGCTGTGCTGGAGTGAAAGAGTCATTGTTTATCTGGAAGCACAACTTCACGACAGCTGCGGGGCCTTTCAAGGGAACACTCCTGTTAGTGGGAAAGCCAGCCCGAGGAAAAGGCTAAACACAAATGGTTGGCAGCCCGCGCGAGTAAACGGCAGGCCCCAACCGCCCCCTTACAAACGTGGAGAGTTTGGAAGTCCAGCCCAAAAGCGGAAGCCTGTCGGTCCTTTCGGTGCTGACGGAAGGTGCAGAGGACAGTAGATATCGCACCGCGAGAATTCCTCCTTCAAATCCCCTTTAGAAACTCTTTGTTTTATTTCCCGTTCGTGTTGAAAGTGCAGTCGCCACAAAAGCTCCCAGAGAGGAAACCTTCACTCGACCTCCCCGTACCATCCCGCTTCCAACGCAGCATCATGGTGACCGTCTCCCAGCCGACAGGTAGGCGTTCTCAGACCTCCCCATCTGTCTGTTTTGTTGCGGCAGTAGTTTCAATAATGCACTAATCCAACGATTTTCCATGAAATTAAAAAAAGCTGAAACGACACGCGTGAGAACGCAAATCCGGCTGGAGTTGCGGGAAGCGGCTGAGCGATGAGGATGGTCCACCGGGAGCTCGCTCTGGACGTTTCTTTTTTCCCCAGGCCGTTAAACAGAGTCTTCCAGCTGTTACAGTGCCTCGCAAAAACATCGAATCAAATCAAACTTTATTTACGTGAGAAAGTGTTTCACCGAGGTTCAAAACGGCCCTGGATTTTTGTTTCCTCTTTTTGTCACAGGACAACCACAACTGGAGTATGATGTGACAAACTAAAACAAAGGAAATCAAAGCGGTGAAGCTGAACGAAGGTCTGAGACGTTTGGGTTGCAGTGAGAAAGGATCTCCAGGTTCACAATGTGCAGAACTTTGGCTGTGCCTTTAACAGTCTTTACAAAAATAACTTGAGGTCAAGTAGATTTAGGTAAGAACTTTGAGTAGGCCATTCCAACACATAATATGGTTATCTCGACTGTTTCATTTCACCTCTGGGTTTCCATCGAATTCCTCCCGCCCCAAAAAAGAAAAGCATTCCGACAGCATGATGCAGCCACCACCATGCTTCCTTCTGGGAATGCTTTGTTTGGGGTTATGTGCAATATCAGCTTTTGACTACATTATTTTATTTTCAGTGTCATGTACATCATTTGTGTGGCCGTGTTGGCCCTTCTACATTTGATGTGTTGTCTCGAGACTCTGCCAGGATGAGGCTTCATTTAAGCTCAGTCCGTCTTCCCACCAACATGTCTGCCGTGTCTCCAATATTGGCGATTGTGAAACTGCAGACAAAACTTATTGTGGGATTTTCTTTTTTAGCACAGTAGATGAAGCTTCGATTTGTGGAGTTCAGGTTTGGGTTTTTTTTCTGGTAACTATCCGTGGCACAATCCCTCACAGTTCTTCTGTTTGTCTATCACATTCAAGTCCCAATAAAACCATCGCAGTTTGTGGTTGTAAAAGTGTGGCAAAAGGCCTTGGGCATGGAAACTTCTTTGCAAAGCAACCAGAAACCCGAGCGTTTCAGACAGTCACGTGTTTTATACCTGCTCTCAGCCGAGATGTGAGCCTGAGGGAATTGAAAACAGCATTATACCAGCAGGATTATGGCTGACTGAGCAGGGCTCCGAGCAGATAATCATGGCGGAGGGGTGAGGGGTGGGATGATGCAGCAGATTTCCTCTGTGGATGCCTTTTGTATCACAAAAAAAAAAAAGAAAAAAAACCCACAAGGTTTCGCTTAAAATGCTGGAAATGCATTTTACAAGTACAGAATAATGGTTGGAAAAACTATCGGTGGTCCTGATATCTGCTCAGAGATCTGAATCTGATTTAATATCCTTCCTGAAATAATGTCCTTTTTTCCCCATCTTTTAGAAAGAGAAAAGTTGAGATTATTCCAAAATGACATTTTACAAAAAAAGAGACTAAGGTGGTGATATGTTAGCTTTGTGTCGTCGATTGAAGTCAGTACCTCTGAAATCATGTTGATTGAAGTGACACTGTAATGTAAATTAAAATCCTGTGGCTCGAAGGTCATCTGAAAAAGTGAACATGACAATAAGAACCTATAGAGACGTGCCAATAAGGTACCCAACAGTTCCAAAAGATCTGATGTTGTCCCCTAACGTTCATGAAATGAGAGGTCTTGGTAATTATAATCATAAATGGTCAGCAGACTAAATGTGAGGCACGCTTTTGTGTGCTCAGGCAATGAGGCCAATACAGAGAAGAGTTGAGCTCTTCAGTGACCAGCATGCTGCTGAAGCTTTATTCGTATATCTGGACTCCGTCGTGATGCAGGTGGAACGTAGCAATAACCAGATTAATAAATGAAGCACATCTGAACACACACACTACGAAAAACCTGCCCCATATTGACAGTCGTAGAGTAGAGTGGTCGGTTTTGTTCAAGTAAGCCGCTACGCAGACGACACTCAGCTCTATTTCCCAAAAAACCGGGTGGTTTTGACGCACAGTGGTGCTTGTTTGGCTACATGAAAGAACTAAAGAAACTTAAACTTAAAAGATGTTAATTTCTGAACCTCCCAACCATACAGTTTACGTCTACTATCAGACAAATCTAGAAATTCTCGTTAGAAAATGCAACAGCTAGCTACTCCATCAACTCCGTGGCCAAGCGTGTTTGTATTTCGTTTGATCTTATTGTTTTTCTGCATTGCCATGCTTATTTTATTCCAACATATATGGTCTTTGAGCATGTATTATGTGGTGCTATATCAAAAATGAAATTACCATGACTGATTTCATCCCTCATCTTTTTGTATTTGCTGCAGGACCCAGAGATGAGTGAGAGGAGATGACTGAACCAAGCCTGAGCTTTCTGCACAAGCACTTCTCCTCTGTGACATGTACCTATAGGAAAGCTGTTTATACTCAACTTTTTTCATCCGCAATTATCATCATTATGAGGCTGCTGAGACAAGCAGCTGCCTTTCTGCATCAACGAATCAAATGTGCACGGTTCAAAAACAGCTTTATTCATACCAAGGCGTGCTGATTAATCTGTTCGGTTCTTTGCCTTCTGACCTTCTTACCTTAAATGTTGGCTTCTCCCCCCAGGTTTTCTGGTTATTTAATGTTTTCTTCGTCTTCTTTTTCTCTCTTTAAACTACAGTTGTATCAGAAAAGGTTTGAGATGTAGCAATAACGGCGGACGCGTCCGTGAGACGGCGGTTCTCGTACATGCAAAGAAAACCGGACAAATAAAAAGATCTTCAAGATGGAATTGAGTGACCTGTCCCGTCTGCTTCATTTCTCTATGACATCATGTGATTTTGTAATGAAATGTTTCAAGTACTTATTCGCGAGCCCTGTCGGCATGCTGAAGCCGTTGTAGTGGAGTAGTGAAACGTGTTCTCAATGCGATAAAAACATCGTCAGGTGTGAGAGGGACAAATGTACTTTTGTTATTTGTGATGGTTTGATGCACAATTTAACTGATTTCATCTTTCCATGCCACACAAAATCAGCCTTCATGTGAGCAGCAAATCGTTTAAATTTGAGGAAAACTATCCCAACAAACGATTGTTTGTCCAACTGGAGGAGGGAGAACCGAAGCTCTTCAAAACAATAGCGTCGTGTTCATGGGTAAAATTCTGCTGCAAATTTGTTGCAAAAGAGGGAACGCTCTTCCTCTGAAAGGACCAGCTTATCGGACAGTTGTGGCGCACTGCGGCGACTGTTTGGCTACGTAAGTGAAGTGTTGTAAATTGTCGGGGGTGAGCTTCTTACACTTCAACGAGTGCAAGACAAAACTCTTAATTTCTGAACCTCCCAGCTCCCCAGATTAGTCCATCAATCTAAAGCTACAGTCAAGCAAATTCAGAGACGTCTTAGAAAATGTTCTACCGACTCAAGGACCAATCGTTTGTATTTTTAGCTCACTTCATTCCCTCGTCCAGAAAGCTTGCTTCTAGAAATTTCGCAACTTTCAAAATGCAGCAATCAGTTTGAGTCGATTGTCCAAAAGTATTGAAACATGTGGACCAACTCAGCTTTTAGTGCAGACACACAATCTCTCCCAAACATTGAATCTTTGATTGCATTATATGTATTCATCCCATGCTAGGAAATGACTCTTCAACTTATTCATAAGTTATCCAGAGATCCAGGGACCACCGTGAAGCATGTTGATTTTGTGTTTCTCTGATGATTTAGCCTTAGATTTTGGGTAAACACCTCGCTCAGGGACTTCAGTGGCGACCCACTTCTAGTTTACTGGTGGAAGGTTTGTTATGGAGCGAGAGGAAACCCTTTTTCTGGTGTAACCAGATTGGCGGATGGATGGATGGTGACACTGTGGTTGTCTTCACAACAACCACTGTTGTTGTGAAGACTCGGTCGACCTCAAGCAGTCCTTCTTCTCTGACAGTAAACTTCGGAGCTCGCCATGTTTACCGGCAAAACAATTATGGGTCATTTTCTAGGAAGTGGCCAGTGGCTTAAACAGCAGGCGGCTGAGTCACGTCACGTTGACGAAGGACAAGGACGACTGAATAATCACGCTTTCCTAAATGTATTGCTGGAAGAAGGAAGCGCCAGTTCTTAAATATTTCAGTTGAATTTGTGTCAAAGAGAATTTTAGGAAAGTCAATAATTATGAGGCTTGTTAAATGGGGTTATGTAAAATCTACTCTTTTTTGTTGTTGTTTTACATTATGTTATAATGTTATTCCCTCATCAAAAACATACCTGGAGTATTGCTTTGATTCTTTAATTTATATCTGAGAGATCATCTAATCTCCCATGGCAACCATTCAGCTGTGGAAAACGCTCGGGTGGACCTAGCGTTGACAGCTTCCCCACTTGGTTCCTACAGACTAGCCAGACGAGTCACATTTGATATTTGTAGCATTGTTATAACAATTGAAATGTTTGCATGGATGCTGATTTCGCACAATAAGACATCTAAGCTAACCTGGTCCAAATATTTACAGTTCCCTGTATTCGCTCATAACTTCTAAAATGAAATCATATTCGTATCGGAAGCATGTAAATAAAAGTATGTAAATAAAAACTGCCTTGGTTTTACGGATCAAATAATATCCAAGCAGACAAATGTTATCTTTAAGTTCTATTTCTATGACTGCTGTAGAGTCTGTTTACTAAAGAAAATGTTAGCATGTGGCTAAAAAAAAAGAAGTTTTATAGGAAAGAGTGAGTCAAAATTCATCCACAGTGACAGAAAAAATAATAATCAGTTATTAGGTTTAGTGGCGATGGTGGGATTACTTCATTTTGGTGAGGATTGTTTTTTTTCTCTAAATAAATGAAGTTATGACATGAGAACTAGCTTTCTTTCTGTTTTTCCAGGTTTACTTTGTCAGATATTAGACATTTTTCAATAAACCGAAACATTTCAGTGCAACAAAGAACGCAAAAAAAACAACAAAAAAAACAAGCAGGTTACGTGACTTAAATTTATTTAATTCATCTTGTGCGATTCCTTTTATTATTGCAGTGACTTGGACCGTCAGTGAACGGGTGTGTGTGTGTGTGTGTGTGTGTGTGTGTGTGTGTGTGTGTGTGTGTGTGTGTGTGTGTGTGTGTGTGTGTGTACGTGCATGCGTGCGTGTGTGTACGTGCGTGCGTGTGTGTGTGTGTATATACGTTAAGTTTTGGGATCAGGATCTTTTCCAACTTTCTGTGCTGACGGAATTAAAGCTAAAGGACCATTTATGATTCGTTTTTTTCTTCTTCTTTTATCCGCTCAGTCTATCATGGTGTTTGCGGCTTCCTTGCGAACGACGATCTTGTACACGCTCTCCCTGAAGCTGCTGTCAGAGGTGAGCCGCCGAGCCGTCGCCCGCAGCTCCTCCAGGCCGTCGTCCGAACCGGCCACAGCAAACGACTTGGAGTGTTTCACTGGAACAGTCAAAGTCATTCAAAGTCACAAAAACTGACTTTTCTTTGTTTTTTCTTCTTTTTTTTTTGTTCTTTTTTTTACACAATATTCAGCGGTTCTATTCTCACATTTCACAAATAAGACAAAAATATTCTGATTGATTTCAGCTAGTAAAACCAGCAGCATATCGTCAGGGTGAAGCCGAAGCTAAACTTTCACCACGGATGTTTTCTGTTCCGTTTTCTCTCCGCAATGGTTGTTGAAGTGCCGCTAATCACTCCCGCTGTTTGTTGGGAAAGCTCCTGGGAACAGAACGGGAGGCTGCCCGGGAAGCGTCGATGTTTGTGAAGAGATTTTCTGGAGGTCAAGACGGAATGCGCGTTCGCCGTCATTTAAAAACCCAAGCGGTGACAGTTCAAACGCGGCGACGTGTGGAGGCATCCGGCTGCCGACCCGTTCCGACTGCGACGGCAGCGGGAAAAAGGAAAGACGGATGACGTTTGCAAAATCTAAAAGTGACATGTTTAGAGTATCATCCAATCTGGATAAAAGAAAAACAAACTCCCGCAAACGGTTTGTTGTAAAACAAAGCCGACGTTGATTACCCTCATCCTGCTGACCGCCGACTATGAGACACCTCAAAGTCACTCCCAGGAATTCTCCTGCATTTCTCATGTTTCACCCACAAACCTCAGTGTGCTGTAGGGAAATGGTGCATGCTTTAAAAAAATAAATAATAATGTTTTTACGGAGGAAAACCTGAAAAGTTTAGCATCCATTTGTATTGAGTCGATTACAGCTGAGAGCACATCTACTAGCCGGAACCGGTGGCTCAGAGTCCAGAATGTCGGTTCTCAAGTCCTGCTGTGGCTTGTCTAGTGGATCTAGGTCTGGACTTTGACTGGACCGTTCTAACACAGGGATATACTTTGATCTAAACTTTTCTTTTACAGCTACAAATGTTTTTTTTTTTTTTTTTAAAAGGTAAAGATTTTTTTTTATATCTACTGTAAAAAACATGTTTCTAAACAATCCTATTTTCTAGCTTTTGTTAGGTTTTATAATAAACAGAAAACATTTGCAGAAAAGATGATGGATATGTTTCCTAATGTGGGATGTTCACATGTATGGAAATGTAATATTTTTCAAAAAGCACAGTTTCCAACTTAATGACAAAAACATTACTTGTATATTTTAGTATCATTCTGTGATAAATAATCAATTTTTCATAGAAAAGAAAAACACCAGCCAAAAATCAGCATAATTTATATTTAAATCATTAGTCAATTTGTTATCATTTTAAGCCAGAGTTATATTGTGGAAGATCAATTAAAAAATAAAAAAATTAATCAATTTCTTAATCATAAATTTGGAATTATAATAGTTTTTCACTGTAAAAGGCAAGCTGGTTTTCAATCAATATAAGTTAAAATAATTTATTAATGCGTTAAATGTCTTTCTCATCTTGATTGGCTGCCAGTCAAATTGATCCACAGCATCATGCTGCCACCGCCGTGTTTCACCAAGTTCAAGTTAATACTGTACAGTGTTTGGTTTCTCTTCTCCAATGTTAGCAGGAAAGCTATTCATAGCCACCGCTGTCAGATTTGTGTTTGTGCAACCGACCACTAGAACGCGAGTGGAGTGTGTGTGAAGCTCCCACTCACACCAGTGGCGCCTGGAGGCTCTCCTCTGGATGCGGCAGCTCTTGATTCTGCGCGCGGCGGCTTTGTGCAGGTAGACGGCGTTCTTCATGATGGCCGGCAGCTTCGCCTCAATCTCCGCTGCACAGATGCACTCCTCGAAGAACTCTGGGTGAACAAACACACGCGCGCACACACACACACGCATGCAATTGTCAAACACACAAAAATCGCTGCAGTGAGAGACGACAGCAGATAATCGGGGTGCATTCAAGTTTTACAAAGGTGACGAAATGTGCCTTTGTGAATATCAGCTGCACCAATTTCATAATGAGATGTCAAACTTCACATTTGGCCAATTATTTGAATTCCTTTCTTAGACCGGAACCCAGTTCCTCCATTATCATTATTATTATTATAATAAAAATGAGACGTAACTATTAATAAATAATTGTTATTAATGGTTTCAGATAAAACAAGAGAAAAATATCATGAGGTCTCTGAGAATTTGGACATTAGGTATAAAAATATGACAATGTATTAAATACAACCAGTGATGTGTGACGTCCACTCTTAACATTCAAATGTTTAAATAAAACTTCTCAACAAGGGGAAATATTATTGTAATCAGATCAGTGATCAGATCAAATCAGTTTTTATTTGTATCCTGCCAATTTAGATTTTTTTCCTACTTTTTTTTTTTTACCTCTAAGGTTTTCGTAACATACGAAGGAGAGAGAAAC